GTAAACAATGAATACCTAAAAAAAAACAAACCTTGATAATAATTCAATTATAGTATTTTGGCGAAATTACTCTTGGTACGCCACCGCAAACATTCAATGTAATATTTGATACAGGATCGTCGAATTTATGGGTTCCATCAACCCATTGTACTTCGATCGCTTGCTTCCTTCATCGTCGGTTTGATTCAGGCAGATCTAGTACCTTCAAACCTAACGGAACTGAATTTGAAATTCACTATGCTTCTGGAGGTTTAGAAGGAATTATTAGTAATGTAAGTTTCTTTTCTTAGATTTCGAATGTTTAAATTGTTTTAACAATGAATCTTTCTTGTAGGATGTTTTACAAATAGCGGATATTAAGGTTATTGACCAGGATTTTGGTGAAGCCGTTAAAGAACCTGGCTTAGTTTTTACTTTTGGTCGCTTCGATGGTATTTTTGGACTTGGTAAGCTTGTTTTTATCATTCTTATTATTGTATTATATTATACACATTATATACATAACACTTATTCATTATAAAATGTTCTTAAAGGTTATGATAACATTGCTGTCAAAGGTGCTGTTCCTCCTTTTTATCATATAGTAAATCGTAAACTTATTGATACACCGATTTTTTCGTTTTGGCTTAGTAATGCTGATAAAAATAATGCTATTGGTGGAGAACTGATTTTCGGTGGTTATGATGAATCTCATATTGATGAACCCATTCATTGGGTTCCAGTTAGAAGAAAGGGTTATTGGGAAATCGAATTAGAAAAAATTGTTTTTGGTGGAGAAGAAGTAGAAATGGAAGGAACTGGTGCTGCGATTGATACCGGAACTTCTCTTATAGCAGTACCTATTTCTATTGCAGACTTGATTCATAAAGCAATTGGTGGCAAGAGAAACTTTGCCGGTCAATATATAATTGACTGTGACAGAGTACCATCTTTACCTGATTTCAGCTTGCAATTTAATAGCAAATTATTTACTTTGAATGGCTCGGAATATGTTTTGAAAGGTATTATTATTCATCACTCTTATCTATTTTTATGTCAAGGTTTATTACCATTAATGTTGATCTTTCCTAGTTCAAAGCCAATGTATTTCCGCGTTTACGGGTCTTGACATTCCCGAACCGTTGGGTCCTATTTGGATAAGTGAGTATTTTTTATTCCATATAATTGAAATCATGAATCCCATATTTAAAAGTTTCATTCTATTTCATTCTATAGTTGGTGATGTCTTCCTACGTAAATTCTATTCGATTTATGATCTCCAAAATAATATGGTTTGTCCTTTTTTTTGAATTGCTTTATTTTTATTTGAAACTCTATTATGTAATTAATGACAATTTCATGTTAGGTTGGATTGGCTAAAGCGAAATAATGGCAGATCATTAAGCTTATATTAGTAGAGATTGGACATTTTTATTACTGTATATGGTTATAATAAATTATCCGGATAACCGGATAATTTAATAATATCCGGGTAGAAATTTTCTTGACGAGTACAATCTCTATATATTGTTCTCTTATTAAGTTTTTGCTGGTTGAGACATTTTAACTATTAATAAAAGTACGTGCAAAACATAATCACTTACAACATTGTTTATCCTGAAATAATTGGTTGACTAAAATGCATTTTCTATGATATTCTTAATATTCTTGAGTTATAATTGTTAAATTAAAATTAGAGCCCTATTATTACATAATTGAACGGATTTTGAATATGGAACTTTACTATAAAAATAGAACTTCATTATAAAAATCGACAAATAATCCCGAAAATTCTATTCTATTAAACATCCTGCTTATTTTAACAAAAAACCAGTTATGTTACTTCATTGCAATTCATAAAAGTATCATCTACATAGATAATATTATCAATTATTAAACATTTAAAAATTGGAATCTTAAAAATATGTTGCATATTTACATATTTATTGAAGTCTTTATGAAATATACATGATTTATGAACTTATTCTGTGTATTCTGTGATAGTGTTGACAAAAAGAATCTAAAAGTTTGACAAACATTTATCAAGCTAACACACACGTTATTAATCATTAGCAAGACAAGTGTTTGCCAAAATATTTGCAACAGAGTAATCGTAAACAATCTTTATAACCAAGTCAAGGCATCTTCCATCATTTCGAGGACGACGACGAAAAACTGTATCATTAGAAGTAATCCTTGGATTTAAAGTAAAATTCCCTAAATAAACAATATTGGTTTCTTGTAATAAATGAACCTAATCTACGATAATAATTAGCATAATAATTACCAACCATTGCAATAAGTTACTTACCTGGAACAACAAATCTATTTGGTTGATTATTATTAGTCATAAATGTTGGCGAGGTAATAGCAACTCTGAAACTAGTTGCAGTTGTAGCTGGTTGTATATTTCCATATCCAAAAGATGTCCCAGATTGAATGCTTGTAATATTTCCAAAAGATGGTAGGCTAGTCTGTTGAGAATTGAATCCGAAACTATTATTATCATTTGTAGTCTGAATAATCGGCTGATTAAATCCAAATGCTCCAAATGACGGAATAGTTGTTTGAACATTTGTAAATGTACCAAATCCATTAGATTGGAATATAGGGTTTCTATTATACGCATTTACTCCAGTAGTATTACCAAATAGATTAAAAGAAGGTGCAGCGGTCACACTACTAAACATGTTTAATCCTATCCCCGGTCCAGTAGTAGCAGCACTAGATGAAATATTATTTTGTTGATTATTGGTGTTTATTTGAGCAATCAAATTTCCCAAAGTTCCAAATAATGGTTGGGATGAGTTATTATTATTTATTTGATTAGTTTGAAGATTACTTGGTTGGTTATTGATAGAGTTTTGTCCAATAGCGAAAGATGAAAATGAAGGTCGATTATTATTTATTAGAGGACCGATTGTTCCATTAGGACCACCTGAACCACCAATAAATGAAGCACGAGAATCAAAGTCTGGTGGAAGATCAGGTGGAAATCGAGGAGTACCTTCATTAAGAAGCCAGGATATTTCAGGAATTTCAGATTTAAGATGTCTTTCTATTGTATCGCCAAACTGTTGCAGAATTACATAACCTACAATGTTAAATGGCCTCAAAATATTTTCAACAATGGCACTTTGTCGGTACGCTGGACTCCAATATTGTAGACCTGGTTGACCATCTTCATAAAATTTCAGGTGAATCTCAGTTTGAAGTTGATCCATTGCTTCATGGATCAATTCCTTGAGTGCAGCAACAAATGCATCAACTTTAGCAGCTACAGTTTTTTCACCTGAAGTTAATGAAACATCTTTAACAGGTATTTGAAAATAATCAATTTCTTGATCTAATTCTTCTCTGGTGACAGAAACGGTGTTTTTATCTGATCGTTCACTCCATAATATTTTACCATTACGATAAAATTCAAGAATATATCGAAATGCATAGCCATTTCTATCAATAAAGTATTCGTTACCATTCCTAAGAGGATTAAGAATTTAATAATAGTAAGTATACAATATATAATTAGTAATAATGACATCTATACCTACCTAGGATGAAGCATTGATCTATTACGTTCTTGAAACATTGTACCAAGGAGAGTATCAGGAAAAGCAGTCAAAGTCGATGGATATGTTTCATACTAAGTGATTAAAACATTAAGTTATCTATTTAAACGTTATGAATCATAAAGACAATATGATTTTATTTTTTGCAATTGACTACCTTTATTCCTCCAACATTTAATATAATTGTCTCCTCCCGAGTATACTTTACACCATTATCAATCGTTTGTAATGTTTCCATAGATCTTTACTAGTATAATAACACACTAAAAATTTAAATCGACAATTAATAATAAAGCAATTATTTTGAAAATTTTCAAAAATAAAAGTCAATATAATCTTACTTGGACTATGCTACAACGTTTTGATTATGCAAGAAGATATTTTGCATTGCTAACACCATAATTCAAATAGAGAAAGGCTCACCTTTATGTAAATTTCGTGTAATAGTGCAAAACAAAAGCACTATATAAAAATGAGAAGATAAAATTTGGTTGAATTGTGTAAAACTGGACAACTCATTTTTTGCTCAAACAATTATAAGCCTTTTTTTTACATCATACCGATATCACATACCGATACTGGGGTTCACAATACATATGATCACAAATTACCAACCGGTCGATTTTCATTCGCTCGTGTAACCATAACGGCATCCATGTTGCCACGCGAATTGAATGCTATTGAGATACTATGAAATTATTGGGACAAATATTTGAATGAATACATATTTGTTATCGTTGTTAATGGGATTATTGTCCGAAGCGCTTCTTTTTGAGCAAACTGACATGTCGGAGACCACCAATGAAAATCGAGAATTGAAGATTCCCGTGATGATCTGCAGTCAGTGCGCACGCACTTATTTGCGCGAGTAATACAAGCTCCTAAAAAGGAATGACCAATCAGAGTACAAAATTTGACTGTCCGGATATTCCGAACACGTGCGAAAGAAGGAAAAGCGAAAATACTCAAGAACTAGTGTTTAAATAGACCTTAGTACACTAATTAAAATGTCGGGAACGAAATTTTACGTATAATAAGTAACAATCTAATGTATCTTTCGCACTTGGTTTATTTAATTCGATTTCCTTTTTCGGTTTGTGTTACTCACGCAAATAAGTAAACTGCAGTCAGTGCAGGGACACGGAAATATTATTTTCGATTGAAGGCAAGTTTAAGCAAGATTTTTTGATTCAATTTATTTAATTCTATATATTTTAAAATAAAAGTTCCGAATGATTCTAATCATTCAAAGAAATGTTCCAAAAAAATTAGCATGCTCTTTTTAACGTTAATGCCTTTTTTTTGATCAGGCAGATTAGATTAAATATTTATATAATTTTAAAACCTCACCAAAATTCTTTCCTTTTTCAAAACACGGGCATTCGTTATTTTTATCATGCTACGTTACACCATATCGTGATTGCCTATTGGTTATAGTACCGTAGTGCACTGACCAAAGTACCCGGGGTCCAATACAATCTAACCAAAAAAAAACTTATAAAGTACTCGTGGGTATCTTGATCGATGACGGGTAACTTGTATGGGGGGGTGCTTTGTACGGTCTTATATATGTAATGCAGAAATCAATATGTGTTAACGTGAAAAATGCCATGCAAAATACCCGGGTATTATCCACGGTTAAAAAAAAATGTTATACAAAGTACCCGGGTATTTTGAGTGGAGTACGCAAAAAGGGGTCAGTGCACTCTGTTGGCCATCACGTGGAGTGATAACTGGCCAATCATATCATTTTCATGTCAAAATTTCGATTTGCCCAAAAAATTTCGATTCCATTCAAAAAATTTCTTTCGAAAAATTTCCGTGCCCTTGAGTCAGTGTATATATGTTACACATGTGCGGATTTTTCGCTTCGGAATTTTAGCAGATTTTCTAATTTATGGTTTTGATTCAAACCAAGAATCAGCAATAGCCCTCATAAATGGATTATAATAATTATTTTTAAAGGCGCTGGTAAAATAAAACTAAGTGGTGAAATAGTTTCACCACTTTTGGTTGAATTTGTGAAATTAATTTCACCATGCCTACTAATATTATTTATCAAGGCTCATAAATGTCAAAGAGAAATGATTATTCAATTAAACAAAAATACTAATGCAATTACATTTGAAGCTGTGAAGTTGATAGATGTTCAATTATAAGAAAAGCTACAATCAAACTTCATTTAGCTAGAAGAAAAATAAAGATCGCAGAAGATTTTAAACAATATACAGTATACGTACTAAATGTAATTTAGGTCGTTATACACAGTATATAAAAACCTTGCTTGCAGTAAAATTTACAGCTTATTATTCTTTTATATACGCGTAGGCGCTTGATTATTTTTAAAAAAGCTCACAAACCTCTCACAATGAATAAATTGGCTTAAAGTACCGAATTAAATTTTGTGCCAACCAGAAAAGTGGTTGATGATATAAAAGCTTAGAGTAGGTGAGTGTCTTTCAAAAGCATGGAACCCACACAAATTTCTGTTGTAACTTTTTGCGAAAATGCAGAAATACAGTATATATCAAATTTTTAAGGCCACTGCTACTACCTAAACTACAGTTAATCAATTGGTTTTACTAAAATTAGTCAAATTTGTTACTGAAGTTAATAAATACCATTGGAAAAATTTTCTTCTTATAGTTTATATTCATGCGTCGCTTCATTGTCTCTTCTCAATACAGTGCTGAGCAGAAATATGATTTTAATCGGCGCTTATGTAGCAGTAGGTAATTTATGCTAGGGGGTTTAAATTCTGGAGCAACCGAAAAACTTCTTATACTGTAATCGAGTCAACAAGTTAACGAGTCATATAACCCAGGCTTTGACCAACCTTATGCTATCCTCTCAATGAACTGTTTCGGTTGGCATTTCCAAGTAACCGTTCCCCAAGTGCAAAGTATCCTCTGGCTCCGAGAATAAAATTGTATTTTATTATTATTATCGGTTTTACTAAATCACACCAGTGGTGCTCAACACCACACTTGTTATATCTCTGGTGTTCTAAGTAAAAATGGTCAGCATTCACACAAATTTCTCCCTATAACTAATTTGAACTCTTAGCTTAGAACCCTAACCTACCTCGTTGTTCTTGTCTATTATATTTGACTTTTTTGACAACTGAAGCTCATCCGCGATTTCCTCACCAACATTTACCGCTACAACTTATACAGTATATATCCAATGTTTTTGAACGAAAAGCTCTTTTTACACGATTCTATATTGATAGTTCGATATTTTTATTATGTTTAGCTATGAACTAATAAATGCAAAAAAAATTTTTTTCGCATACTTTCGTTCTTTTATAACGCCATCTCAATACTAGCGAACATCCTCTTAGAAATAACATACAATATTAATAACATAATAGACTCTAACATTTCAATAAAAAAATAAATAAATAAAAAAGACCATGTCACAAATAATGATGCTTGGGAATATAACTATACTCTAGATTCAGGTAATAAGCTGTAAGAGCTCTTGGGCTGGGAAAAAATACCTATCCTTTGGATTTAGTAGAAAACTGTCAAGAGGTGCCATGTGGTCAAACTAATTAAAGCATCTTTACTTTTTTTTCGACTGATACCATTTTGGAAAGTTCAATCGTTTTGCGTGCTATTTAGTCTGTTTCAATCATCCGTTAACGGTGGTATGTTTACAATTTTTGCGCGATTTGAGGTCAAAAATCCCAATATGAAGGGATGCAGTTTATTGAAAGCAAAAAAAAATATTACCTAATACAAAAGATGTATTTTCTACATATGACGCTAAGGCATATCTGTTCTTACACTATGTTTGGGACACTTTTAGTATCTTTAGATAATGTTCGTTTTATTGGAAAGATGTAACACAATTATATTATTTATATGTATAGGTTTAATTGAATACCGTGTAAATTTCAGGCACGACATCGATGCCATAAAAAAAAAACCTTAGCGTCACCACTCTAAAAATTTCGCTGGCCAATCAGATTTCAAGATCGGGTGTAGCGTAAAAACATAAACCAAAAACCGTTTATAGCACAACATTTTGCCTATGAAACTGCTTTTTGCGCATTAACAAAAAGCTTTCCTTGCGAAATTTGGCATTAAAGAAATTCTCTAGCCTAACCTAATAGCAAAAATTAACAGCGAAGTTTAGTAATACAACTCTTAAATGGAAATAGCCAATTAGAGTGCAAATTTTGACTATTCCGAATCAGATTCCTAATGAATCATTTAAATCCGAAAGTGATTCTTCATATATATTCGTCATACCATAAGTACCGCTACGAATTATTAATGCTTTTACATTCTTTGGTTCAATTTCTAATGGTTTATTTAAATATACAAGCGATTGTTCATATCTCCACGAATCCTTAATGCTTCTGCATTATTTGGTTCAATTTCTGTAAGTGACCCTTAATATCTTTCATCATACGATAAGTATCTCCACGAATCCATACCCCGAATTCTTAATGCAAATATATTACGTATTGTTTCAATTTCTAATGATTTATTCAAATCTGTAAGTGATCTTCCATATCCTTTTATTATGCAAAATGTCACCACGAATTCTTGATGCTTCTGATTATTTGGGTCAATTCCTAACGCTAATGATTTACGTATTCATCATGCGATAATTACCTCCAAAAATTCCTAATGCAAATGAATTATTGGATTCAAATTCTAATGATTTATTAAAATCCGCATGTGATTCCTCATATCTATTCATCATTCGATAAGCATCTCCACGAATTTTTAATGCCAATGAATTATTTTGTTCAATTTCTTAAAGCAGATTCGATTTCTAGTGATTCTTTAAATCTGTAGGTGATTCTTCATCATATGATAAGTATCGCCACGAATCCTTAATGCTTCTGCATTATTTGGTTCAATTTCTAATGATTTTTTTCAAACCCACGAGTGATTCTTCATATCCTTTCATCATACAATAAGTATCTCCACGAATTCTTAATGCTTCTGCATCATTTGGTTCAATTTCATTTGTTCAATTTCTAATGATTCATTTAAATCTGCAAGTGGTCTTTATATCCATTCACCATATGAGTGCCGTCAAGGGAAAACCCACATTCTGGCTTTCAATTATATTTTGTGTTCAGTTTATTTTCTGAGTGTTGTCTAGGAAAAATCTATCATTGGATTTCAATTATATTTTGAGACAAGTCATTACAATATAATCGAAAGTTTGATGACAGATTTGCTCTAGACAACACTCAGAAAATAAACTGAACAC